GCACTCTCCCCGAAAAATTTGACATGAGACAATACAAGAAATTGCAGATGTTGAGCCATGGTTTATTTCACCATTTGTATTCTTCACGGTACTATGGCAATACCTTAATGCTATTCTGTCTGTGATGAGAAATCCTCCGCCATGCTGAACGAGAAAAAGAGTTGCACCCACTTTACTCGGAGTCCCCAATAGACTTCCACTCTCGTCCCTTCTCTCTCGCTCTCTCACACCATGGCCGGGGGGGCAAAAGGGGAGGGCTTCCGGAGGAATTTTTTGTGTGGGTGGAAAAGAATTACTTTTTGCAACCCTTTGACATGCCCGCAGTGAAATTCCCCCCATTAAGATTTCCATAATTACTTCCTTTTCTCTGCACTGGCCATCCAAATGAAGTCCTCCGGCCTTTTTTCCTGTCCATGACGCCCGTTCCGGCACTGAGGCGAGAGTAAACATGAAATTTACACCAAGGGTTGGGCCACCCTGACTCCAAATGACCCCCATAGTGGCGATCGGACGTCTCCTCTCTGACATCCTTCCTGGGTCCCATATCTCATGCGGAGACTCTTCACGGGAAACTCATCCGGGCCTCCAGCCCAAGTCACACCATTGGGAGTCACTGAAGCGAGAAAGTGTTTGTCGATTTTCCCATCACTTCTGCAGTGGCCATGGGAAAAAGGAGGCGACACAATTGGGTGGGTGGTCGGTCGAAGATTGGGAGAAAAGGAGTAAAGAGACAATAAACAAACCGAACTCATATATATTGTCACAATTCTTTCACATACACACTTTCCAACTGAGTTGAACAGCAAACAACTGGCATTATTGCACATGAGAGATTGATGAGAAAGGAGTAAGGAAAAGAGTGATGTAAAATGGTTTTTGCTCTGCGGAAATCTTCGGCTTTTGTCAACATCAGGAAGTATTGCAAAACCCCAAAATGACATTTTTGTTTTCAAAACGCAGCAATTAAACTTAAAAAAAAATGCCTTATCTACACACTTCTCAGCTCTGTCCTCTTTTTCACGTTTGTCGGGCGGAATATTCTATACTTTTCCCAGGGAATTCGGAAAAGGTGGAGTGAATATTGGTACAGGGTCAAATGGGGCCTGAAAGACTGAGAGGTAGTGTATAAGGAGGAAAAAAAATCAATTTCCCAACCGAGATCTCTCTTGCAGAAATATTCTATATATTTATTATTTGTCCTCAGTGACTGTGTGGCCTCAATATTGGCTGGCTTTTCTCAGGCGTGTGCGCTTCGAGTGTGTTGAGCGCGGCGACGAAAAGGGGTTTCCCATCCATGGAAAGGAGAAAGTGAAGACGAGAGAAAGCCTTTAAGTGCTTTATTCGCTACTCATCGCGTTGACAAATTGAATCAATTGAATGACTCGAAGGGAAAAGCAGACTAATTCATCCCAACATCATTTGCCTGCGCTCCAGAGCCTTCCGTCCCCATGCGAGTCTCTTATTAATAATATCAAACTACATTGTCGCAATTTCCATTACACTTTATGGTGGCTGTGTCCTCATGCCACACAAGAAGTGCGCAGTTACAGAAAATGGCATGGAATAACGCTTCAATGACTTCCTAATTTGCTGTAATTTTATTTATGGCCAGATTACGAGGGTTGTTTTTTTGTTCTTTACCATCCCCCATCCACACCATTCGAGAAGCGAGAGTCCGAGGGCGGGTGAAGTAATTTATAGAATTCTTCATTTCAACACACGACAATTCCATGAAAATGAATTTCTTCACCGCTTTTCTCTTGATGGCTTCAGCTTTTGACACTTTTATTTGTCTCCCTGTTTCGCTGAGGAAATGCTAAAAGCAAAAAATGAACAAACGAAATACTGAACGTCTAATTAAATATCTCGTCTCGGTGAAATCCCTCATTAATCTTTCTCTCCTTCTTCAGAGAACCTCAACAAACCATCAGCACTTTCGCAGATTTTTCCACCATTCAGAACTCATCTCTTGTGCGGAATCATTGGATTTTATTGAGGATTCTTCGGAAAAGTTTCTCACGAGGAATTTTCAATATAATTACCACACTTGAAAAGAATCATGCGGTGAGAAATCTGAGAAACAAGGAGTAAAGTTGTGGAATTGCTGAGGTTTCTATATTAAATTCTTTTATTTCTTTCTCCACCAAAATGAGATTTCAACAATGGCATAATCTCAAAAAAACGTGGAATTCTCAAAAGAATTCTTTCCTTACATTAAGAGAGGGTGAGAATGTATTTTATGGTATATTTATGATGGATTTTCATATGTTTAATATTTCATGGTAAAATTTGATATTTTAGACTTAAATTTTTCGGGAAATCACAACAGGAAAGTGAACAAAAGCATATAACATTGCTAAAATATAACAAAAACCCTCATCAACTAATTACAAAGCGTTTGTTATTTTTCGATAGAGCCTCGCACAGTTGTGCGGAATGATAATGAAAGCGCCTTCAGGTCCGAGGAAATACAGCACAGAATGTTTCTACTCCAATTGTTCTCAGTCATTGTCTTGCCATGGGAATTTTTGGCACGAAAAACTCTATTTATTCAAATGCCAAATCAATTTCAACTGAATTTTCCACCCATCAACTCGTCCCATTGTAATATTTGGCACTGATGGTGCTGGTTTTTCTCCCAGGAAACTTTTCAGTATGCCGAAAGTAACATAATTGCTGAAATGCTGGGTTAATGGTATTGAGAATATTCTTATTGTTGCAGAAAAGAGAAACAGGGTTACAGAAAATTGATTGACACTCATTGCAAAACTCCGCCCAATCCAAAGCCCCGCCCAGTTGCATGTCTGGAAACTTGAATTATATTCAGACAGACTCCATTAGGTATTTCATGACTCAACAATCATTTCTCACTGTGCGCTAATTGTTTTCCATTTGTGTGCAATTGTGCTAAAATCGAACTTTTAATGTGAAGCTTCAGAAGCCATTTCGCTCCCCATTTCAAATGACAACGATGGGGTAGCAAATGAATTAATTGCGAGTGAAATGCTCTGACAGCAAAGTCGAAAGTTGGCGGGAAAAGTGGGTGGACTGAGGGCGGGCGAATGCTCAAAAGTTCAACACACATTTCAATTAATACAGCTGCCAATTAGATGAATTTATTGGCAATTTGCAGTGTGTAATTGGATGTTGGTGGAACTTTCTTCCCGCTCAACAGACAATTTCATCGCAATGGTCAATTCCCTTGGCCGTGCGGGCTAATTTTATTCACAACCCAGGTTGGTAATTAAAGCCTCTGACTGCAGCGAAACCACCAAAATCAATTGGCATTAGCGTCTTTTAGGTGGTATGGTCTCTGCACCGCTTCACCCTGCAATTAGGGCACCATATGGGCGGGCGGAGGCAGTCATTCAATTTGCAATTTTGCAGCGAGACATGGTGGAAATATTTCGCAATAGGAAATTGTCTAAAATGTCGCTTCACGCCCTCCTTCGTTCATTCATTTCGATGAATTTAGCAATGCAAATTGAGATGTTGGATGCTAAATTTGCTGTCTGGGGAAATGAAATTTCCTGGACATTCGCCACCCCCCCTTCAATTAACTTCCAAATGAATATTTGCCTATTTCGTCAATGTTTGCCATTGTCTCACTCAACTTCACTCCCATGTACAGCATCTCTAAGAGACAATTTCAAGATGTTGCATGTTGATTTAGAGATGCTGTGCTGTCGAGGGTGAGCCAGACGCTTCACCCTCATCGCTCTTCATGTGCCTACATATGTCAGGGCACAATACACTGAGATGGTGAACCATCGAGTGGGTGAATGCCGGCAGATACCTAAGCAAATACGCAGCCACACGCGAGTAGTCGACTGGAAGTACGACTGGAGGGAGCGAATTGAAAAATTGCCTGAAAAGATGATGGGGAGCACACAGAGAAGAGGGAATGAATATTTAATTATACTTAAAGGGATTCGGTTTTCAGATGGGAGCCACTCTTATTCACTTGAGATCGCATAATACACCCTGATCCCATCCAGTCAATTTGAGGGAACACTTTTTCAACCCATTTCGTGCCACTCACCATTCAAATTTGGAGCTTATTCCAGACAGACGAGGCACTTTAAAGGGGTTCCGAGACGGTTTGCGTCATACTCGAATACCTTTAAACTGATTAAGAGAATCTCAAGAGTGTTCATACATCTCGCAGCGAAAGTCAAACTTCTTTGGAAAAGTTTTTGAAGTATTCCTGAGAACACAATTCATTCTCTCATTATTAAAAATTGAGAAATGAGAAAAAGTTATTGAGAAAATTAACAATTGCAAAGATCAAATATCAAAAGATGCATTTCGACTTCTTTTTTGCAAGCGTAGAGCAACTTCTCTTAATGCCAATCTCAAGCAATACGCACAACTCTTTTCAAATGCAGTAGTATTTGCACTCTCTGCAGAGCCTCTGTTTGGCACAGTTTGAATGTCACATAAAATTAATCATGCTGCACAAAAGAGTTCTTTTTAATAAAATCCCAACCAACAAATTTATAGTGACATTTATCTATTCATGCCGACCATATATTTCCCGTGTCTAGAGTCATCGCGGCACGTTATTAAAATATTTCAGGGCGCGTGTCCTACTTTTCTGTGAGCACACGAGAAAGCACGAGCCATAATTCACTGGCTCCAGAATCTCGTCTCGTGCGAGTGCATTTATCAAATTGAACAAGCGAGAGAGCAAAGCGCCGTCAAGGAGACACTCAATTGAAATCTATATAGAAATCTATTTATTCTTGAGTTTTGGTATGTTTGGGAGCAGACAAAGTGTCCTTCCGATCAGTTGGTAGCCTGTGCGAGGGACACATGCTGCGTCTTGGCTTCATTGTCCATGTACTTTGCTGGTTGTCATCATTTTTGGGGGAGATTTTCCGGAAAATCCTGGCCATCATCCTGTCCGGTCGGCAAGATTTCAGCACTGCGACTCTCGCCGAGGGGAGAAAATGACGCGACAGTGAGTGACAAGGTTGGTTGAGGATGCAGATTCATAGTTAGTAGTGCTTGTGGGCCTGGTACCATCCCACTTCGTGGCTCTCCTGGGACTTGTCGCAGTCCTTGTCGTAGTCAGGATGGCTCTTGGCCTCGGCGTGCTTCTGCAGCAGCTGAGCCTTGGCGTGGCGCACTTCGGGCGTCTCAGTGGGCACTCCGTGCTTGATCACGGGCACATGCACGGGTCCGGTCCAGCGGTGCTCGCCCGCGTGGTGGTAATCATGGGCGTACTCTTCCTGACCCCAAGAGCTGCCGTGAGCGGCGTGCTTGGAGGCCAAGTGAGCCTTGGCGTGGCGCACTTCGGGCGTCTCAGTGGGCACTCCGTGAACAATCACGGGCTCGTGGATAGGTCCGGTCCAGCGGGCCTGGTGGTTGTACTGCTCGGCATAGTGGCCGTTGTGGTGGGCCTGGGCATGCTTGGCGTTGTGGTGAGCCTTGGCGTGGCGCACTTCGGGTGTTTCAGTGGGGACGCCGTGCTCAATTACTGGGACATGAACGGGTCCGGTCCAACGCTGATGCTGATGCTGATGCTGATGCTCATCGTGACTGTAGTCATGGCCGTGATGCTGATGCTCATCGTGACTGTAGTCGTGGCCGTGATGGTAGTCGGAGTGATCTGAGTGTCCAGAGTGGTGCTCGGCCTCGGCATGCTTGCTCAGGAGGTGAGCCTTGGCGTGGCGCACTTCGGGGGTTTCAGTGGGAACACCGTGCTTGATGACTGGATGGTGGAGAGGTCCGTGCCACTTGGGCTGCTCGTGGTGGTGCACTTTGGAGGAGTATTTGCTCTCGTAGTTGTACTGATGATCGTTGTGACCTGAGTAGTCGTGAGAGTAGTGGTGACCAGCGTGACTGGCGTGCTGGTGGGCTTCGGCCAGTTTGTGCTCGTGCTCCTTCCGGGCAGCCTGCACTTCGGGGCTCTCAGTGGGCACGCCGTTCTTGATCACTGGCACATGGACGGGTCCGGTCCAGCGGTGCTGGTGCTCCTCCTGGCCGTAGTGGTGAGTGGGCTCGTGATGGAAGACCTCGTTGTGGGACAGATGCTGCTGGTGGTCGTTGTTGTGGTGCCACAGGGAGCGCTTGTGCTGATGGTGGAAGTTGAAGTGGTTCTGCTGATGGTGGAGATTGTGATGTTCGTGGTGTTCATGATGCTCGTGACGATGTTGCTTGGGATGTTCAGCGACAATTGAGTAGGAGAAAGGCTTCGCGTGCTCCTGATGATGATGATGATGATGTCCAAAGCCATGATTCTGCTGATGCTCGTGGTGATCGTGATGCTCCTGAGGAACATCATATTTCACCTCGCTGTGGAAAGCGCCGTGCTTGTCGGAGACTTTGTATGCTCCCTTGACCCTGTCGTGGGAAGCAGACTCCTCCTTCTCGTTGTTCTCATTGTTGTACCCGTAAGAGTAGCCGTGATGTCCATCCTGGGCATGGAACTGAGATGTGATGATGACATTGGCCTGAACCACGGCAATGGCCATCAGAGCAACCACTAAGCACTTCATTGTTGAATCTTTCACTGGTATCTTCCTCAACTCGATGTCACTTCAACCTCCTAGACTGATCTAGGACTGTTCACACACTGTGCCTCTTGCCACTCTTGCGGGCTCTTTTATACCGTCCAAAACTCACTTATTCTTCACACTGGAGTGGGGCCAGAACACAGTCAATTAATAATTTAACAACTAACAGCAAAAGAAACACTCAAAAATAACCATTCAATACAACTAATTAGGCAATTGGTGAATTTTTGAGAATTAAAAGCGCGAGACAGCGTTTCTGATTCACCTCATAAACTTTGTCCGGATCGATTGCGGTCAACATATCCACATGGCAATTAATAAAGAATGTAACACAAAATAGTATTTTAACTTGTGTGTGCAAAAAATTTCCACGTGGCAAATGATTTTCATGCAAATATTTCATTAGTGCAATCCAAACAGACTGTTGCATTTTCCTGCGGATTTTTTTTTATAGAACCACCCGCATAAAAAATAAATTCTCTTAAATATTAAAAGGGGCAAATCATATAAAAAATACGGGAAATTGAAAGAGAGATTTAATTGACAAGCTTAATTTTAAAAATTCATATGCATTTGAACAGAATTATTAATATGCGGAAGAGTGGATGTGAAAATCAATGGCATCACAAGTGTTGAGCAATGCATGGCCAGAGTTTGAAGGATGAGATCAATAATTGTCACGTTGTATTTTCTGATGCTATTCATAACACTTTAACGAGGCATAAATTATAGTGTTTCTGAGACAATGCCGCTTGAGTGCTTGTGTAAATTCAATCTTCTGCTTACAATTTCATTGAATAGCATTACGTTAAGTCCTTATTTAATGTTCTGATGCTTGACCTGCTCAGCCTGCACATGAGATTATTAGTGTGGATAATACCTTCATCGCATTATAAAGCACCAGTTTCGATGAAACCCTTTCCTTTCATAACGTTTAGGGTTCATCATACCATGCAAAAAAGAAGGGAAATGGGACAAATATTATACGCTGTTCAGTGTTTCACTTTGTCTGTCACAAACCATCTGACGATTAAACATTATAATGCTGAAAAAGGGCATTGCGAAACGCTCAAATGACAAAGATTGTACGACGAATAATGATATCGCGATCAATTAAGAATAAAAATATAATTAAACAATAAGAAAATTAATTATTTCGTACTCTCCCTAATTTCTGAGATAGAAGGCACAAGTTGAAATATTTCAGTGAAACAAGTAATTACAGAGAATCTCATTTATTTCTTAGATTATCGCGAGGCGCCGTCGCGTGATCAGTAAAACGACTTGTGAGCTCCGGAACGTTGAGCGGCTTTCCAGTGGCGCTCATTCTTGGCCTCCACAAATCGGGCAGCGTGCTCCTCCTCTCGCCATGCGTCGTTGAAGTCCGGGTGGCTCCTGGCCTCGGAGATCTTCTGCTCGTGCTGCGCTCTGGCCTTCTGCACCTCCGGCGTCTCCGTGGGCACTCCGTTCAGCAGCACCGGCACATGCACGGGGCCCGTCCAGCGTTGCGCGGCGTGCGCGGGCTCCTCGTGAACCTCGTAGTGCTGCCAGTCTCCCTGCTGTGCCTCCGAGTCGGAGTGCTGGCTCGCCTCGGCGTGCTTCTGCAGAAGTTGGTTCTTGGCGTGGCGCACTTCGGGCGTCTCGGTCGGCACGCCGTTCTCAATCACGGGCACGTGCACAGGCCCAGTCCATCTGAGTCCTGCGCTCTGCGCCTTCTCGAAGTGATACAGCTTCACGGGCTTCGCCAGAGCAGGCGGCTTCCAGCCGGAGTGCTGCTCCTCCTCCTTCTCCTGGTATCCCGGATGCTTCTTGACCTCGGCCAGCTTCTGCTCCAGGTGCGCCCTGGCCTTCTGCACTTCCGGCGTCTCGGTCGGCACTCCGTTCTTGATCACAGGCACGTGGATGGGCCCCGTCCAGCGCTTGGGCTCCTCGGCGTGCGAGTCGTCCCACAGGTAGTCCTCTCCCTGCTCCACATCCTTAGTGGCCTGGAAGTAGCGCGCATGGGCGCCGACGGCCGCGCACAGCAGAAGAGCGACCTGAAAGATGGGAAGGTTAGAGATGTGCTAGTGGCTTCTGCCCAGAAAATTCGCACTGTGTATTTCATGGTTTGATGATTATGATCTCTTTCGCTCAACCTCCCAGGTGTTGATTCCAGGGACTGTCAAGACACACTGCGACAATTCCACGCAATCTGAACTCTTTTATACTGGTGAGAATTATGGTTTCGCACGGATTATTTCGCCATTTTTATGGCTCAAAACTTAACTGTCCATGTTGTTACGCAAAAATCAACAGAGTTTCAATTATTTATATACAGGAAGATTTTGAGAAAATTCGAATGATTCCTCAAGAGCTTAAGATTGCACCACGCTCGAGCGAAATGAAGTGCGAGCCTGATAAATTCCTCCCAATTTGATTTCTGCTCGATTCCCTCTGAGAGATTGATGGAAACTCTAGAGAGTGGCGCTGAGGAAAATGGTGTGCAATTGAGAAATCTACTGGGGTTCATCAATTATGTGTGAAGTACCCAAAATGCATCATGAGAGGCCCTTGAGCGATAGTGAGTGGGGTTGTGCTATGTGTTTTGCCTCCCCAAGATTGCCAAGTGGTGTCATAAATTTATTCATTTGGCGTACTCTCGAGACGCGCCTCACTGTTTCCCGCGTGAGATGAATGGGCGCGATTTTTTTTTCCACGTCAAAGCTTCCCAGGGACTCTTGCTATCAGGCTCACGTTCGCGGTGGCACTTGAGACAGAGTCGCACATGGAATGAATATGTTACAGCCTCACGGCATTTGTTGCTCCGCGTGGCAGCGCGGCTTATCAGTTGTAGTTTCAGCATTGGTAAACACATCTCGCATGGCAAATTCTGCACACGAGAGATAATTCACCAATTTCTACTTGTCTTGCTCTGGGGAAGTCGCAAGGAATTTATTTATCTTTGCCACGCGCCAAATAACAATACCTCACACTTTTCATTTTGGCAAAACTCCCTCCGGCACTCGGGGCTTTATCAAGCAATGCAAATCTCGCACGTCACATAAAGCACTTGGCAAAATGCATTCGTGAGAGCGCACCTGAGTGTGGGAAACCTCACTGAACTTGCACATCCAGAACAGCCATCGAGAATCGATGCAAATAGAAGTTTCGGTGAATTCGGAGAAGATTGTCTTGTATAACATCCAAGTTTTGAGTCATTATTCACGCAGAGTTAATTCTGTGGACAATAAAATGATAGAAGAGTATCTCACCAGTATAAAAGAGCTCAGATTGCGTGGAATTGTCGCAGTGTGTCTTGACAGTCCCTGGAATCAACACCTGGGAGGTTGAGCGAAAGAGATCATAATCATCAAACCATGAAATACACAGTGCGAATTTTCTGGGCAGAAGCCACTAGCACATCTCTAACCTTCCCATCTTTCAGGTCGCTCTTCTGCTGTGCGCGGCCGTCGGCGCCCATGCGCGCTACTTCCAGGCCACTAAGGATGTGGAGCAGGGAGAGGACTACCTGTGGGACGACTCGCACGCCGAGGAGCCCAAGCGCTGGACGGGGCCCATCCACGTGCCCGTGATCAAGAACGGAGTGCCAACCGAGACGCCGGAAGTGCAGAAGGCCAGGGCACACCTGGAGCAGAAGCTGGCCGAGGTCAAGAAGCATCCGGGATACCAAGAGAAGGAGGAGGAGCAGCACTCCGGCTGGAAGCCGCCTGCTCTGGCGAAGCCCGTGGAGCTGTATCATTTCGAGAAGGCGCAGAGCGCAGGACTCAGATGGACTGGGCCTGTGCACGTGCCCGTGATTGAGAACGGCGTGCCGACCGAGACGCCCGAAGTGCGTCACGCCAAGAACCAACTTCTGCAGAAGCACGCCGAGGCGAGCCAGCACTCAGACTCGGAGGCGCAGCAGGGAGACTGGCAGCACTACGAGGTGCACGAGGAGCCCGCGCACGCCGCGCAACGCTGGACGGGCCCCGTGCATGTGCCGGTGCTGCTGAACGGAGTGCCCACGGAGACGCCGGAGGTGCAGAAGGCCAGAGCGCAGCACGAGCAGAAGATCTCCGAGGCCAGGAGCCACCCGGACTTCAACGACGCATGGCGAGAGGAGGAGCACGCTGCCCGATTTGTGGAGGCCAAGAATGAGCGCCACTGGAAAGCCGCTCATCGTTCCGGAGCTCACAAGTCGTTTTACTGATCACGCGACGGCGCCTCGCGATAATCTAAGAAATAAATGAGATTCTCAAAACAGTGGATATGGAGATTTGGATTGGCCTCAGTTTCGGTACCCCTTTTTGTGGTAACTTTATGTCCTTTGACGAGTCAAGGGTGAAATTTCATACACTCTGGTGCTTCCAATAGCGCGAAATGGAGAGGAATTTCGTTTGAATTGTCTTTAATATGAAATTAATAGCCGGATTACGGAGAAGCCCTGTTCAAGTTCACTTTTCTGCAAAATAATTTCCGGGGAAAATAATAGAGCCGCGAGGGAGAAAAGTTGGAAAATTGTTGATGGGTGTTTTCAGCTCCAGAAGGTCTTCCCTCTTTGATTAAATCGCCAATCGGGAGAGAAAATAACACGCTGCATCCGCTGGAGTGCGCAATGTGGGGTGATGAATGGGGACGAACACTTCTTGTGCATGAGAATGAAGCAGAAGATTGCGTGGAGTGCTCGTATTAGACATTCAAGAGATGACCTCCTGCACAGTGTGTCGGGCGTCCAATTGATTTTTCAATTAACGAGGCTACAGAAAGTTTCTTGCGAACCGGAAGGATGAGGATTTGTTGTCAGCAGCTCAGCTCCCGAAGGGGAAAACACACAGTGTGGAACAAATAATTGACGCAAATTTATTTAGGTCTTCTTCCTTCGCATAAATTCTCTCTTTGACCTTTTTTTTCTGTTCAGCCAGATTGTCGACTCTTCAGATGAGCAATTAGTGTCTCACGTCGTGGCGTTTTGTCTAGGCAATTGGTTTGCCTCCTAGCTAATTTTATTTCTTCCTCGCGGCCATGATTTCAATCTTTCTCTCTCTCTCTGCATCTGTTTCTTGGAGGACGTCGTCAAGAAGGGATTTTCCAATTAGCTCTTATTTGAGCATGATTTTTTCTTCCCCTCTCCCGCGGAAGAATATGGATTTTTTATGCTCTGTCAGAAGTCCAGAGTTTTAATACTTGTGCTTCATTCGGTCAAAAGTACGACACTCAGCAACTCATGCATTTTTCAGAGCGCAATTATCGATTGACTATGATGTTAGTTAGATTTAATTTGTATTAAACATCCATTAAAGATGCAAAGAGTAATTATTTCCGTCGCTAATTGAGCGTTTCATATTTCAACACCTACATAATTAAACATAAAGAGTTCAATTGATGTTTATACATCATGGTGCACACGAATTCTACAGTATAAGCGAGGAGAATCAACATATGGAGCTTTACAAACATTATACGAATACAAATACACATGTATTTGCCTTTGATATTTCTATTAATTAATATAAACATTTCGATTGCTGTGTCGAATTGCAAAAATATGACTGCTAATTAAATCATATCAACATGAGCTAAGCTACGCCCAAGAAGACCCACTTTCACCTTTAGAAACCTCATCCCACGGGCGGAAGCACTGTCAGGATTGGCCGTGTGCAGTCGGTGGCAGGAAGAGACATGAAAATCATCCCTCGCTCCCAGGCTAAGGGTGAATCTCCTGAAATGCAGTGCTGAGGGTGTAATTTTATTGTTTACACTTGTGTTCACAATCCCAGGAGTCGCCTGGATGGGACAGGACGAAGAAGTGAGCAACACAGGCGAACAATAAATGACAAAGAACTGAGAAACTGCAGCGACGACAAGTTGCATTGTGTCAGGGATGATAAATTGCAGTGAGACTGCAGGATGGCACATTTTCTTGTGCACCACACACCCCCCAATTCCACACCATCCACCCCCTCAGTAGTCAGGGAGGAAGATGAATGGCGATGTGAAAGATGAGGGTAAACTCAAAACAATTCTCCCCGAGAGCCACCCACACAGCCTTTCTCTGCCACGGAGATTTCTGCAATGATTTATGTGGTTAATTTCTGATTTATATTTCACTTAATCTGACCAGCCAGTTGAGATGTCATCCAACTAAATAATAATCCATATTTCGTGACATTATCATCATAGATGACTGAAAGCTTTTGCTGTAATTGATTGCGATATCATACTATCATTAAATGTATGCGGTTTTATTGGTTTCCTTTTTTCCAACATTATATAAAATTTTATGTTGTTTATCTCAAAGTAATGAATATAGAGAGAGAGAGAGTTGTAGTGGTAATTCAAGTGGTTTTCCTGGAAATGGCTTTCAGTTGTTATTATCGCATTTATGTATTATTAATTATCATCATACATGACACAGAGACGGAATATTAAAGAATAAAATACTTTTTAATATAAATTAATTATTGTCGTATTTATTATTTATTTATTAGCATCATATATTAACAATAACTGTATACCAGGTAAAATATGACCGAATAACTTATCAGCACAATTATTGGAGTGTTCTTTCTGCTGAAGCTGATCTCATCAACATTGGAACCATCATCAAAGCAATAGATGCAAGAATGATCATCTTCTTTCCAACACCTTTCACTCACTGACGCTGAAATACCATATCTGCAATCTCTTTTGATGTATTTTGAAGTCAATTGAGACAACTGAACGGCTGATGATCTCTTTTGTATGTCCCCAAAAAGACCCTCGTGAGAGGCATAGAAAAGCGATAAGATTTTGCACTTATCTATAATGACGACTTTGTAATTAATACGCAATGGCTAATCAATTGGGCAATTCGGATAATAAATTGTGCGGACTTTTTAAACTACGCCACTGGGTTCGGGTGGAGTTGCTTTTCTCTGTTGTCTTGCAGTTGGAAAATTTATTGCTATCCGATAGCGGTGTCAGTTTAATTTTTTCCCCATCAGTGGGAGTGGTTGATTTTCCACGGAAGGCAATGGCAAGTGTATCTAAATTACAATCAGAAAATTAAATTGCTTTTTAGTCACACGGGCGGCAACGACTTGTGCTAAATGGATTTTCACCCACACTCTCAACTTTGCTCAATGA